TCAGGCAATGGAAGAGGCCAAGGTCAAGGTCGTTGAGGAGTACAAGTCTTCGGTGGAGTACCGGAAGGAGATGGTCGAGGTGGGGACGGCGAGCTACCGCCAAGGATTTAAACTTAGCAGGTGGCTGACCCGATGTGATTTCCCCCAGCTCGACCTCAGTGTCATAACTACTTCGAGGGTCACAAAGGAAATGGCCGTTGAAGCTGCCCAAGATCTGGACTCCAAAGCAAAAAGCGAGGAYGACTTGTCCGATGATGATGAGGTGACCAATGCTGGCAAGAGCCGCATGGAGACAGATCCTCCTACTGAAGCCTCCAACAAGGGTGAGGCTCCGAGCTCGATTCATAGTGAAACTTTCTCTTTTCTCTTCTTCTTGTTTTGTACTCAAAACTTTACATTAATGAAATATAAGTATTTTGTCTATCTCGGTACAAAAACTTTTCTAAGTGTAAATAACTCCCGAACTGGTGAACTATACCAAAAATAGGAGTAAATTTTATTTAAGTGTTGGTTACCCCAAACTGTAAAGCTAATGAGCTAGACTAATAGCACATGGGGTACTCACTTAGGTGTCGATTATCCCTTAGTGTCGAGCCATCAGGCCTAACTTCAAGTGGGATCAACCTGTTGTTATATGCCGAGGTGGGTTAGACATAGTAGGGTTTGTACCCGAACTGTCTATGCCTCAAACATGAGAACTGGTTTGCCTATGCCAAAGAGGCAACTAGGACTTGTCTGCCTATGCCGAAGAGGCGGCTAGGACTTGTCTGCCCATGCCAAAGAGGCGACTGGGTCTTATCATAGTGCCAAGGTCTTATGTTAGCTCGGCATCATAGCCCTTGGGCTTCTGGGAGTGACTTGCAGTCCTCTCTCCAATTCGATGATCACAAGTAATATCTTCTTAGGTTGTCGATGTTCCACGCTCGAGATACTTGCTTCCCTTCTAGAGTCTCAAGCTCGTACGTACCTTCCCCGAATACCTGTCTTACTCGGTATGGACCTTCTCAATTTGGTTCGAACTTACCAACGCTGGGCTTAGGTACCATAACCGTCGAAGAAGTAGGTTGTCGATGCAGAAGTATCGCTTTTTGACCCGGGTGTTAAAGTATCGAGCTACTCTTTGTTGGTATGCTATAGCTTGGATGTATGCCAGGTCTCGTACCTCTTCCACCAAGTCTAGGTTGGTACGGAGCTCGTCATCATTCGTCTCTTCATCTTAGGCCTCCAAGCATAGTGTAGGTACCTCAATTTCTGCTAGGATTACCGCTTCAGTGTCGTAAGTGAGGTTAAAAGGAGTCTTACTTGTGACAGTCTTGACAGTAGTCCGGTAGGCCCATAGTACACTGGGCATTTTGTCAATCCACAACCCTTTGACTCGAGCTAAGCGAGCTTTCAGTCTGTGAAGTATGGCTCCGTTGGTGACTTCCGCTTGTCCGTTTGCCTAGGGGTGTGCCACCGAGGTGAACTTTGCTAAATTCCCATTTTGGCACACCCAATTCTGAAACTTAATATCTTCGAATTGCTTCCCGTTATCAGAGATGTGTATGCAAGGTAGCCCGTAGCGACATACTATATTCTTCCAAAAGTAATTTTGTATGTTGCGGACTGTGGTTGTTGCTAGAGGTTCAACTTCCACCCACTTCATAAAATAGTCTACTTCTACAACCAAAAACTTCCTCTGTCCTGTCGTTGGCAGGAATGGACCAAGTATGTCGATTCCCCACTATGCGAAGGGCCATGGGTTGGTTAGGTATTTCAGGTTGGGAGCAGGTCGGTGGTGGATTGGTGTGCCTCTGACACTTATCGCACTTCTTGACGAGCTTGAGTGCATCTGCCTTCATCGTGGTCCAGTAGTAGCCTTGCCATAACGCCTTTTGTGCGAGAGCCCTGTCCCCCAAGTGTCTGCTGCACAAGCCTTCATGGGTGTCACGGAGTACGTACTCGACCTCTAAGGGTCGCAAGCAGCACAAGTAGGGGAGCATGAAGGACCTTCTATACAGTTGTCCATCTATAATGATGTACTTAGCCGGCTAGCGCTCACCCTCCAGGCCGCATTGCGTTTTGCACGGAGGGTCCAGTGGAGTAGGTAACTCATGAGTGGGTTGATCCAGCTCGGTTCTGCTTATGCTACAGGAGTGACCTCTCTTGCCCCCTCGAGAATGCAAGGCTGAGGTAAGTCCTCTATATACACAGTCCGCATGGTGTTACTACTTGTGCTTGCTAATCGGGACAAGGCGTCGGCCTCAGTGTTCTCAGACCTTAGGATTTTTCTAATGAAGTAGGAAATGAAGTCGCGCAAGATCTCCCTAACTTTGGCAAAGTAAGCAGCCATGGTGGGGTAGCGGGCTTCATACTCACCGCTGACTTGGTTGACTACGAGCTGAGAGTCACAGCATACGATGAGGTGCTTTGCCTTCATTTCCTTTGCTAGGGTGAGCCCGAAGACCAATGCTTCGTACTCTGCTTCGTTGTTTGATGCCACGAACCTAAACCGGAGTGTGTATTCCAGCTTCACCTCACTTGGGCCGTATAGAATTATTCCTACACCACTTCCCTATTGGTTGGACGAGTCATCAATGTGGAGAATCCAAGGCTCCTCGTCCCAAGTTGGACCGGTTCTGACTGTCGCACTAGTTTAAGCTTCTACAGTGTGCTCGAGCTTGGTCAGCTCTGGAGTTGCGGTACTGAATGTACATTTTGCCACAAAATCGGCCAAGGCTTGGGCTTTGATTACCGTCCAAGGTTCATACTAGATGTCATACTCACATAGCTCAATAGCCTACTTTGTCAATCTGCCAGACACCTTGGGATTGAACAGAATCTATCTCAGAGGCTTGTTGGTGAGGACGACATTGGTATGGGCTTGGAAGTATGGATGAAGCTTGCGAGCTGCTATGATTAGCGTGTACGCTAGTTTCTCAATCTTCGGGTACCTAGTTTTTGTGTCCTGCAAAACTTTGCTAACGTAGTAGATGGGTCGTTGGACTCGATCTACCTCTTTGATTAGTACCGTGCCGACAAAATTTGGAAACACTTTGCAAATCATCTAGCAAAAAAAATTGAATACTAGGTCTTCACGACCATCTCATCAACATAGCATTTGACTTTATTGCTGATTAACGGCTCAAAAATTTTATTTACAAGGCGTTGAAAAGTTTCCCTGGCATTTTTTAGTCCAAAGGGCATGACCTTGTAGCAATACAACCCGAGCTCAGTGATAAAGGCAATTTTTTCTTCATCAGCGGGGTCTATCCTAATTTGGTTGTAACCGAAATAGGCGTTGAGGAAGCACAACAACTCATGCCCTGGATGTCGCGTCCACTAGGTGGTCGATCTTGTGCAGCGGAAAGCAGTCTTTCGGGCAGGCTCTATTTAGGTCGGTGTAATCGATGTACATGTGCCACTTGCCATTGGCCTTTTCTACCAAAACTGGGTTAGCTACCCAGCTCGGGTAATTGACTTCCTTGATGAAGTTTGCCGCTAAGAGCTTCCCGACCTCTTCATTGACTATCCTCTAGCTTTCTGGGGTGAGGTTGCACTTTCTCTATCTAACTGGCCAGCTGAGAACGAAGTGGCT